CTCACGGCCACCTCAGCCTCGACCTGCTGGGCTCAGGTGATCCTTCTGCCTCAGCCTTCCAAGTAGCTGGAATTACAGGTGTGCACCATCACACCCAGCTAATTTTTCTTGATTTATCATAGAGATGAAGTCTTGCCAAGTTGGCTATGCTAGTCTTTAACCCGTGGGCTCAGGCAGTCTTCTTACCTCAGCCTCCCAAAGTGCTGGGATTATAGGTGTGAGCCACTGCGCCTGGCCTACAGTATAAACTTTGTACTCATTACTTTAAAATTTTTTCTTTCTTGGGACAGGTACATCAGGAGCGTCTCTATCAAGAATATAATTTCAGCAAGGCTGAGGGTCATCTGAAACAGATGGAGAAGATATACACTCAGCAAATACAGAGCAAGGATATAGAATTGACCTCTATGAAAGGGGAGGTCAACTCCATGAAGAAAGTGCTAGAAGAATACAAGAAAAAGTTCAGTGACATCTCTGAGAAACTTATGGAGCGCAATCGCCAGTATCAAAAGCTCCAAGGCCTCTATGATAGCCTAAGGTTACGAAACATCACTATTGCTAACCATGAAGGCACCCTGGAACCATCCATGAATGCACAATCTGGTGTTTATGGCTTCCCATTAGGTAAGAAAGGACATGTGATATCTAATATCTAGTCTTTAAATCAATGATTTTTCACACTGCTGTGCACTATTCCAAGTAGTGGAGACTCAAAAGGACTTGAGTTGTGGTAGGCTGTGAATTTTTCATCTGTTTCTACTTGTACATCATTGCTTTTATGTATTGTATTTGCTTACATTTAAATCAAGAGTTAATCTTTGCAAATGAAGGTTTACAGATTATTACTTTAAATTAAAAGTTAATTATAATAATAATATTAGCTGCCATTTATTGATTCCTTACTAACTGTTAGGTACCGTTATAAGTGTTTTACATTAGTTTAGGTAATCTACAGAACTCGTATGAGGTAGATTTTATTATTATTATTTTGAGTAGGAGTCTCATTCTGTTGCCCAGGCTGGAGTGCAGTGGCCACTGCAACCTTGACGACCTACTGGGCTAAGGTGATCCTTCCACCTCAGCCTTCCAAGTACCTGGAACCACAGGTATATACCACCATGCCTAGCTAATGTTTTGATATATTGTAGATGAGGTCTTGCCAAGTTGCCCAGGCTGGTCTTGAATCCCTGGACTCAGGCAATCCTCTTGCCTCTGTCTCCCAAAGTGTTGGGATTACAGGTATGAGCCTCCACGTCTGGCAATTTTATCTGTTTTACAGATGAGAAAGTGGAGGGAAAGAAAGTGAAGTTACTTGGTCAAGATCCCTGACCTATTTTCAGCGCCTATACTCTTGACTATTGGCTATTCTTCAAGAAGGCCGTGTTTCAGTTTATTTCATAGACCAGTGTACAGTTCTTTAAGTTAATGTCAATTGTTTGGTTGGTTCATTCTTTTGATTATTATTTTTTCTATTCATGAATATTTGTCAAATATGTTTCACGTACCAGGCTGTTAGGTATGATTCTAGGCAATGAGTGTATAAAGATTATCTAGGATTATGCTAACTTTTTTTCTGCTTGTTCGGTGCCTTGCAGATGAAATGAATCTCTTATCTTTTCCTGTGTTCTCTCCTTTATTTTACTCCTTCTGCAACAGAATCCAGTAGACTTGTGCTATGTTATTAATATGAATTGTTTTTGGCATACAGAAGCATGAAGCTTCTTGTGCTGGACTTTCCTAAATACTCATTTTTTGGATATTTATTGTAGGTTGAGGAAAGAGTTAGTGGGTAACGAGATGAAGACTATCAGATGTAAGAACTGGAACAAAAATAAATTTCTGCTTAACTTTCAGTGAATCATATAATGTATTTTAGTAAAAGTATTATTGTAAACGGGCATTGTCGATGTTCTTTTATTTCCTTGTTACTGTCTGTATTTATTTTAATTTCCTTCATATTCACCAGTCTTTTCTGTTTTTCTTTTTTGCACACACTTGCCTTTTTGCCTCGTGCTACCACTGTTAGCTTGAAGGAGATACAGTCAGCATTTCCCTTTAGATACCTGTTCATTTATTTATTTATTTGTTTATTTTAAAGATGTGGGTACAGTTAGTGATTAGGTATGCAAGTGGACATCATACAGGTAAAGTTTGGGCCTCCTTTTGATCCTCACTTTGCCTGTTTTGAGATCAGGTAGCCTTATTGATGTTATGTGCTCCCCCAGATGACTAATGCAAATGGTTCATGAAACATACTTTGAGAAGTATTCTTTAATATGTTCCTTCTGTCCTAAATTGTCTATAACAATGAAATCAAAGCTTACCACTATCACTTTGAATAGCAGCATCACTATCTAATCCTTTTCCTCATCTCTACTTCACACTCTTATTCCATTTCTGTACCTTCTCACCAAATTCTCCAAGTATTATCCTCTCTCAAGCTGCCTAGGGCATTTACTATCGGAATTCGAGACCAGCCTGGGCAACATAGTGAGACTGTCAATTGTCTCTATTTTTTTTTCAGATTATATGTATATATTATATATATATTTTCTAAGATAAGTATTGTGGAAGAATATATATATGTGTAATATATATTTGATAATCCCTCTAAAGTAGATTAAGTAGATAACAAATGAGTAAGATTATGATATTGTAAATCTAGCTCTACTAAAAACATGTTTCATTGTGTCAAATTACTTTTGGTAGTGAGGTCATGCTATCATTAGAAATTGCATCACAGAAGAAGGTACGGTATATACTGTGGTCAGGGGAGGGTTGGGGAACATCACAGTTCTTTTCTTGATCCAATATTAGGTCTACATTTTATCTCATAGGCTTTGAGTTCAGTTAGAATTTTTATTGAATGTCTTTTATCTTTTTGTTACCAAAGATTTGTGAGAAAATAAGTGCTTAAGTTTTTTTCTTATTTTTTTTTTTTTCTAGGGAACAACTCTAAGTTTCCTTTGGATAATTCACCAATTCGAAGTCGGGGTGGTGGAGAAGGAGATTTTCAGTTCAGACCATTTTTTGTGGGTTCTCCCATAGCACCTGAACCCAGCAACAGCTTTTTCAGTTTTGTCTCTCCCAGTCATGAATTAGAGGAGCAGCAAGTCTCTACCAGGGCATTCAAAGTAAAACGAATTTAAGAGTTGGGCATGTGTCGCTTATGTCCAGGTGTTTTGAGACTGCAGTGAGCCAAGGTCACACCACTGCACTCCAACCTGGTCAACAGAGAGACCTGGTCTCTAAAAACAACAAAGTAAAAAGTAGTTAGCTAACTTTACAGAATGTTTCTCTGTTCATTTTTAGTGATTACATTTAACAATCTTTATTCTAGATAGGAGTCACCAGCCTCCCTGTGCTTTTTAAGTCTTTAAAGTTGTCCTTACATTGTCAACTTGTAAGAAGCTCAGTGGCACTGGGAAGTGACTTTACAATCTGCTTTTTTTGTTCCTATTATTTAAAGCATGAGCATTTTATTAATTGCAGTTTCGTTGTAAACTGTTGAATTTTCTTCACTAGTGAAAAGGTCATGACATATTTCGGTAGTTCACTGTTTCTGTCTGAGCTATGTATTTATAAATAAGCACCTGTGTTGTCTCATGGTCATTTTGAATTCTGGTATTATTGCATATATGTATATGTAAGCATAAATTTACACTGACATTTTTCTATATTTGTGTGAAAATTCCGGTCTTGGAAAATGGTGGATGACCTGTGGCTTGTTTTTTTAGTTATATTATTTATTTACATATATTTATATATTTCCCTTTACATTAACTTGTTTGAACATGCGCTTATGTCAGTGAATGAGAATACAGTTTGATGCTTGTATGTTTGTTCCCTGTTTATATTTACAAATAATTCACATGGCAGCCTGTGAACATAGCGAGACCTTATTCTACAAAACAAACAAAAAACCACACTGATAAAGTTATTTATAAAGTTGACTTTTTGAGATTTACGGTTGGCCCGTTTTATCTGCAAGCTCCACCCTCATAGATTCAACCAACCCTGGACTAAAAATATTTTGAGGAAAAAAACCCCAATAAAAATAACAATACAACAATAAAAAATACAAATTAAAAAATCAATACAGTATAACCACCATATGCATACCATTTGCTTTATAGATGTTATAAGTAATCTAGAGGTAATTTAAAGTATTCAGTAGAATGTGTATAGGTTATATGCAAATACAGTGCCATTTTATAAAAGGGACTTGAGCATCCAAGGATTTTGGTATTTGTTAAAGTTCCTGGGATCAATCCTGCAAAGATACTGAGGGACGACTGTATTTTAAAATAAAATTTTTATATCTTTTTGTCAACTGTTGCCTTGGGTTTACTTATTTAGAAATGTACTTCTGCTAAGGGATGAATGACTGTATTTTAAAATAAAACTCTACACTTTTTTGTCAACTATTGCCTTGGGTTTACTTATTTAGAAATGCACTTCTCAGAATTTCTCTCTCTCTCTTTTTGAGATAGTGTCTCATTCTGTCTCCCAGGCTGCAGTGCAATGGTGTGTTCATACCTCACTGTATTGGGCTTGAGTGATCCTCCAACCTTGGCCTCCTAAGGTGCTGGGATTATAGGTGTGAGCCACTGTGCCTGGCCAGGAATGCACTCCTACTGCAGAAAATTTACCAATATATTGCTGATCTCAAGATATTATATTAAAATCACTTTAAAGACTTACTTGTTTTTCCTTGTGAACTAGCGAGCATTTCTGACCAGCCTGGGCAACATGGTAAGACCTTGTTTTTACAATAAATAAAAAAAAATTAGATGGGTATGGTCCACAACTGTAGTTCCAGCTACTTGGAAGGCTGAAGCAGAAGGATTCCCTTAGCCCAGCAGGTTGAGACTGTGTGACTGTGAGTGTGCCACTACACTCCAGCCTGGGCAACAGAGTGAGACTCCAACTCAAAAACTAAAAATAAAAAAATATAGAGCCAAGAAAGAAATTTGAAAGATATTACCAGTAACTTTATGTCCTGTTAGAGGCAACACCTGAAAGCATACTGGTTGGGGAGTCAGAAAATCGCTTCTGGTTATTTTTTTCCCCGTTTATTGATTGTGGGAGTTTGAATTTAAGCTTTCTAGGCCTTAGTTTCTATATCTAAAATGAAGGATTAAATTAAGTTATCCTTTTAGCTTTTTTTAACGCTTAAATTTTATGATTGATTGGGATGGATCATATTGGAATTATCCTAAGTGCCAAATTCCATTGTTTTTTAGGTAATAAAAGTCATACTGAAATTATCTGAGGGTATTTTGTATTCAATCATTGTGAAAAGACAAGTAAATGCCCTTGTCTTTAATAATTGAAGAGCAAGCAAGTTTTTCTTCAGTAGGAAGATAAGAGTGTAATATCTGTTCATTTTCTTTTACTGCACTCCTAAGTGAAAATGCCTGAGAAAGAGGATGAAAAATCTTGTCCTTTTTTAGTTTTTGTTTTAAAACAGCCCTCCCTATTTCATAGCTGATTACATAGATTTTATAGGTTACAGTACAGAGTATTTTTCTTCCCTTATATTTTGTTGGAAAATGGTTTGAGGTAATGATTTATGTGCATTCATGTTTTTGCCTTGAACATGTTGCTTCTTTGTTAGGTTCACAGAATCAATCTGAAGAAAAAGTGAGCAATAATTAAAACTAAAAAAGTAAAGGAAACTGTCAGGAATATTACATAGTACTTAACATTTTATTCGAGTTTAGTACATTCACAAATTCAAAAGGTACAAAAGAGGCATAGAGTCAAAAGTCTCCTTTCTGCCCCATCCCCCAATCACTCACTTCTGTTCTTTGGAAGCAGTTATTGTTTCTAGTGTATGACTTTTCAGAGCTAATCTATATAGAAACAACAAAAAAATTGAAATTATGTTTATATTTGAATAGGTAATATATGTAATGGCAAAAAGTTGGAGAGGTACACAGTGGAAAGAATTTTCTTCCTTCCCCTGCTCCCAGTGTCTGTTTCCTTCTCTGGAGACTGTCATTGTTTCTTATGTATCCTGAATACTGTCTATGAATATGTTAGTATTATGTCTTTTGTAAAAGCCTCTGCTACACCAGGTGTAGTACAATTATTAGGATAGTACATTAAAAATGATAAAAACATATAGAAAGTAATTGCAAAGTTTGGAGAAGATTCAGACAAGTTATCACAACGAACCACATTCCCTTAAAAATTTCAAACATGGGCAGGCACTGTCTCAACATGCCTCCTTTTTGGAGGTGGTATAACCTTGGTATAAATAATTAGAAATATATGAAGCAAAAATATGCATGTAATTAAGCTGAGAAAACTTTGATTCCAGAATCTGGGAAAGAAGTTTATGAATTCGAAAGTGATCCTAGAGCACCTCTTTTGTGCTATAAGCTTGTAGATGCTATTGGTTTGAAGCAGAACTCCTTAGGTGCAGGTAAGCCTCCAGGTCCCTAGATGTCGCTGAGGCTTCGCGATGGGCATGGGCGTGAGTCTCTGTGGTTACAAAGTTGGGGGCGGAAAAGCCTTGAGAGGCTGGGAAATGATGGCTGATGAAGAGGAAGTCAAGCAGATCTTGCAGAAATTGCAGGTGGGAGCCGTAGATCAAAGTCTATATATGCTTTTGTTACTCGACAAGAAGCAGGGAGTTCAGGTTAGGCAGTGCCTGCAATTCCTGACGCCGCGTGCGTCTGTGCGGTTTCTATAACAACTCCCGAGGGTGCAGCCGCAGCCAGCCTGGGGAGCCTCGCCAACCAGGGGAAGGACGCAGCCGGTGTGTGGGGACCTTCTGCTGCTGACCCCTCCTGTGCGGAAGAAATATGTCCTAACTTTATTCTTGTACATTTTTAGGGAGGAAGTTTTTTTTTCTGATTCATCCATAACAAATAAGCGTATGCATGTGTATGGTAGTTCTGCATAACTATTATCCCATGTTTAGATCCTCACAAAGGCCATTTCTTTAACACTTTTCTACTTTGAAATTGACAACAATCACAGTAATGGCCTACACTGCAAGTGTCTTGATTCCTCCCCTTAGGACTTAACAGTTTTTTTAGGATTACACATTTTTTCCAACATGTATAATCCCGTCCCGGGTTCTGATGCAGAGGGGTTCAGATTCCACGTCGTCCACCTGTGATTGTACTTCTGACTAGGACTAGTCTTTGTACATAGTAGGTAGGAGTTAACTAGTGACTTGGCTCTTTTCTTTGAATGACTCAAGATTTTCTTTAAACCTCAGAAACTTTGTTGTGTTCTAAGACAGTGTGGTATTTAAATATTAGAAGTATGACAGATACGTACAGGAAAAAAAAATCTGAAAACGTATGCTAATCAGTGGTTATCCCTGAGGTTGTTTGTGGGTGATTATAAGAAAGTTTTTTTTATTTTTATTTTGAGGTGGAGTCTCACTCTGCCATCTAGCCTGGAGGCAGTGGCATGCTCCCAGCGACCCTCAGCCTCAACTGCTGGACTCAGGCGGTCCTTCCACCTCAGTCTTCCAAGTAGCTGGAACTAGGCACATTCCACCATGCCCCGCTAAGTTTTTTGATTTGTTGTAGAGATGAGGTCTCGCCAAGTTGCCCAGGCTGGTCTTGAAACCTGTGGGCTCAGGCAGTCCTCTCACCTCGGCCTTCCAAAGTGCTGGGATTATAGGCATGAGCCACTGTGCCCGGCCAAGAAAGTTTTTACTTTCTATTTTTTCCATGTGTCTATTTGAATTTTTAACATCATATATATTGATTTTGCCATGAGGAAAAAAGTTGCCAAAAATATTTAATCCGGCCATTGCCTTGCTAAGCTATGGTGTGGCCATGTTCCCTTTGAGCTATGGCCAGGCCATGTTTCCTGGCTTTGGCCCCCTTCCATATCTTGGGGAGGTGAATCTTCTTTTTAATCTCTCTCTGTTACTTTTAAATAAACTATATTTTCTAAACTTAAAAAAAAAATGTTTAATCCAGCAAAATCAAGCCAAACAACAAAGCCAAACAATTTTTTGCATGTTTGTTTTAACAACTAAAAATGAACAATAAGCCCCTCTCTCACACTCTTAATTTGCAGCCATGCTGATTGCAGGGCAAAAGGAAATTAGTTGCAGCTTTTTATGAGAATTGCTTTTTCTTGGGTTCACTTGTGGTAAGTGCCCTAGGCAGCTTGGGAGAGAATATATACTTGGAGAACCCTGGAGGTGGGTAGGTACAGGAATGGAATAGGGAGTGAAGTAGAGATGAGGAAAAGGACTAGAGAGTGATGCTGCTATTCATAGGGATAGTGGTAAGCTTTGATTTCATTGTTATAGACATTTTAGGGTAGAAGGAGCGTATTAATATTTCTGAAAGTGTGTTTTATGAACCATTTTCATTACAGTCATCTGGGTGCCTGTTAAAATGCAGAATTTTGAGTTCTGCTAAACCACTAAAATCAGAATCTCTGCAGGCTAAGTCCTGGACATAATTCAGTAAAATTTGAAAATTTGTAAAGCACTACCGCAGAGGGTGCTAGTCCATTCTCTTCATTCTTGGTGGGGTTTTTTTTTTTTTTTTTTCCGAGTTGGAGTCTCACTCTGTCGCCCAGATTGGAGTACAGTGGCATGCTCATGGCCACTGCAGCCTCGACCTGATCCTTCCACCTCAGCCTTCCAAGTAGCTGGAACTATAGGTACATGCCACCATGTCCCACTAATTTTTGATTTATTGCAGAGATGAGGTCTTGCTAAGTTGCCCAGGCTGGTCTTGAACCCACGGGTTCAGGCAATCCTCTGTCTTTGGCCTCCCAAAATGCTGGGATTATAGGTATGAGCCACTGTGCCCGGCCTCTGAGTAGGGTTTTAAATTAGGAATACAGTATACACCTAGACACACACGCACATATATGTGTTAGAACAGAGATGATTAAAATTAATTCAATCAGTTATATGTAATGAGAGCCTATCATGTCCCAAGCCCTGTTCTGGTTCTCAGTTGTAGCCCTAAACAAAACAGATAAAGGCCCTTCCATCATGACAGACTTCAGTGGTGGAGACAAGACAATAGACAGTTAATGAATAGGCCACATAATTTCAAATGAGAAACATGATGAAATAAAATAAGCGTGATTTAGTTTCGGGGGAGAAGAGAAAGGGGTTGCTTTGGTTTGGGTAATTAGGGGAAGCCTTTCTGAGAAGTTGATATTTGAGCTAAGACCTAAATGATGGTGAGTCATGCAGACATCTGGGGAAAGAGTGAGCAGAAACTTGTATAAGTCTTCTAGGAGGGTTTGAGCTTGACGGGTTTGAGAAACCGCATGAAGGCCACTGTGGCTTGAGTATTGTAGGACAGATCATACAATCTTCTGGGCCATGATAAGGAGTTGGATTTTATTGTCTGTAGTGGGAAACTATTTGAGAGTTTGTGATATGATGCATGTTCTTATAAGGTTACACTGACTACAG